TTGTTTCGAACCCAAATATGGTCATTCTTGAGTCAATTTTCAATAATTTGGAGTTAGCTTTCCAATGAGACTAACCTCATCTTCAAATTCCATTCATGTTGGGAAATACGATTGTTTTAATGGAACAGTGTCAGAATTCCCCTTGAACCGAGTAAGGGCCCTTTTGGGAAATCATTACAAATGACCATAGAAACCTCTTTGAATGTCATGGAATGACTAGAATAATTGTTTTGAACTTCATTTGACTAATTTAAGGACATATTATCCTTTGATATTATAAAAGACCATTTTACCCCTAGTGTTTCCTTGGGTTCAGTTATGGACTCGATTAGCGATTCGGACCCCCCGAGTTCAGATCGTTACAAATTTGGTATTAGAGCCTTAGGTTCGAAAACCTAAGGACGACGGGTAGGGTTGACCTAGAGGAGTTAGAATTGGGTTTGATAACATTGCTTACTTATGTGGCTATTACTTGTTAGTTCAAGATTATGTTGTATTGTTATGTACTTACGTGTTAGTTAACTTTGGAATTCATGAATTAGTAATTGAATGTGTGCATGCTATATGATAATGCGTTCATTGTTATTAAGTTTATTGTTTGTTGAATGTGAAAACATGCTTGATTTGTTATGTGTTTACTTGTTAATTGTTTACTGTTGATGAAAACATGCTTAATTGACTACGTATCTAATTGTTAAAGTGTTTATTATCTACGAAAGCATGTGTTATATAATGTGATGGCATCTATTCGAGTACGATAGTTATGATCCTATTTTGGGACGTAGTTGCACGTTTAGGTCTATGTTATGGTCATTCATCCACTAGGGAGTGGATGTATGTACGACTAGTTTGTTTCGTTGTTGATGAGTTTGAGGTTTCAGGGCAATGCTGTGTGTTGGGTTACGGAAGGTTTTGACCCACGTATGTGAGGGGTTTGATCACTCCTATGTTTATGAATGTTTTAGTTCTTATTGAACGGATAGTGTGAGTGCCATAGCTCGTGGATTGAACTATTTCATGTATCATTGTTTTGATCGTGTAGTTGCTTTTATAGTACCGTGCTTAAGGACTATGTGAAGTGATAGATCCGAATGAAGTTGAAGAGTGATCAGGTGAAGGGCTATCCCAACTGGTAGGGTTTCACTAGGACAAGGCTAAGATAAAGAGGTAGAAGATAATCCACAAGTACCCGTGAATGATGTTCTATTAGCAAGGACTTTAGTCTCAGCTTTTCAGAATTTCGTGCATACCACAGCTCCTCAAGTAGGTAGGTGGATAATTCGTGCCAACCGAAGATAGGTTATAGTTAATTGAAATTCATAGAACATCTTTCTTTAAATCTAATTTAAACGAATGTTATTGAGTTTAATTCCATATGATACATAATTATTGAAATTCCAAGGTTGAACAGTTAACCATAGTATAAGGTTCATGGTGAGGTCGATCCCTAAATATTTCTTCTCTTGATCTCAATCCTTTTATTGCGTTTAAAAGTACAAAGAGTTTTAGTAGATTACTATTGTGTTTCGTACATTAAAGATTTGAGTACGTTATTTTATAATAAAATTATAATAAAAAGAAATACTAATAATAATAATATAGTAGTACGAAATACATATTGAAATTCAATAAAATGAAATTTAATTAGAGATGAAAATATATAACATAAAAAAATTAAACTACTAAAATTCAATAAAAAGGAATCTAATTGAAGAAAGAAATATAATATATTAAAAAATTAAACTATTGAAATTCAATAAAAATAAATCTAAGTGAGCTCATGTTTAAAAATTCTACACGTTCTTCTTGTGCCTGAGGTTTGGGCAAATCTCACACACATGGAGCATTTCAGATTTATTGATTTGACCTCCCTTGAGATTTAGGTGTATGTTTAACAACCTCCTTCTTCATCAAAACTTATAAAAAAATTTCATAAAATGATCAAGTTGCCCTTACACTAATTTTTTTATATTTATTTACAATAATTTTTTTGGGAGGGGGTGACGGTGGCGGAGAGGAGAGAGAAAATAATAAGAGGATGAGATAGAAAATTGACTTTTATTTTTTATTTTATATATATATATATTTTTATATATATATATAACATATTTTGTATTATAAAAATATATTACATATAAGAGTATAATTAACTTTTTATAGTCCTAAAGGATGTCAGAGTAATAAACCTCAAACACTCTACCCGTGAGATTTGCCAAAACCTCAGAGGAGGTAAGTGTAATTTACCCAATTTAAAATGTCTTCGTAATTAGAATCAACAGAGAGTAGGTGGTGTTTTACGAACATAAAATTTAGCATTAAAAATCTTGAAAGACGAATTTTGACTAGTAAATTGTAATTTTTTTTTTTTTTTTCCTCATAGTACTTGTATCGACTTCACAATACACGCACCATTCAAGTCAGAACTGCGATTCAAAAGCAGGACCTCAAGAACTTACCTCTGAATTCCTGTCAACGCTATTATGCCCTGGTGGCAATTGTAAATTAAAATACCTCACAAATACTAATTTGAATTGTAACCGTTATGTTTAGAGTTAGTTTGGTGTGGTGGAATGAAATAAAAGAAAGTGGAATGAAATTTTTTTGTTTTTTGGTACTAATTTTAAAGTAGAAATCATTATTCCCAACTATTCTTAGAGTTTAAAATATATTCAGAAAATTGACTTTGGGCGAACTTAATTATTTATTTTTATCTTTTAATTTCTTTAGTTAGTTCCTTCACCCTTTCTCAAATTATAAAGTTGGTCGATTGCAAAGCTCACCACATACTTCTACTCCGTCATTAAATCCTATAAATGATTAATTTAGTAGAAACAGGAAAAGTATTTAACTTTTTGGCTTAAATCTTCCTCCCAAATTTTAATTGAAAATTTCTTTACTGTTAATTTTCAGTACAGAGCTTGTACTCAGACTACTAATCTACTCTACTCTACTCTACTCTACTCTACTCTACTCCTGCTCCTTGCTCTTGCGAAAAGAAATATTTGGAGAGACCTCAACAAAACCTTAAAATCTAAATCATGAAATCATCATCTCTTTCTCATCATAGCTGGCTTCTCCTTGAGCTTGAGATTGCTCACTAGCTTCATAAGCCAATTCTGCTGACACATGATCATCGCGCGCGCGCGCGTATATGTGTAGTGACTGACGGTACAAATTTCATGATTGTTAATTTCTATTAATAAAAATTAATATTCAAATTTTTGCATATTTATTCACTATATGAATAATTGGAATCTGGAAAGCACAGATACGAATACGGGTGTAGATAAATTACAATATAGACACGGTGATACGATAAATTTTAAAATAATAGAATATGAGTACGGCGAGATACGACAAAAAATAATAGTTATATAAATACATTTATTATATATTTTTAATTAATTTTCTATAATATTATTAATCTAAATTCAATCATTAATATAATATTAGAGTTCATTTCATAAGATATGAAAATAACCATATTTTGTCATCACTTACTAAATTTTGAACTTTTCTTAACAATTTTCCTATGTTGTTATTGTTGAAAAATTTACATTTTAATATTTAAAACTAGTGAAAAATGTGTTATGAAGTATTTGAGATGTATTGCATACGTGGCCGAAGTATATGAGAAGTATCGGATACGTGTTAGAAATTTAAAAAATGTTTTTTAAAATTATAGACATGTTTAAGAAGTATCGGATATATATTTACGAATATTTGAGGAGTATTGATGTCCGACATGTATTTAATACCGGTACATTGCTCTAGTAGAAGTATCCATACTTGCTAGATTGGAATCACTAGAGAATAAGGTGTTGAATCTTGAGTAGTAAATTGTAACTTAACTACTTCTTTGGTACTTGTTTGAATTTCATTTTCCATTTAAAATGTGTTGGAATTTTTTTAAGCCAATGGTATAATTCGGTCATGTAAACTTATCAGTCTAAATGTGATACTTGATTCTTAAAATATTTTATAATTGCTTCCACCGCCAAGTCATTTGCCCATTTTATTTATATTTTTATTTATATTTTTTATTTTGGATAAAATGCTCTCACAACTCCTCAGGGTTTATCTTTACTGCTCACGGGTTAAACTTCAAAAAAAAAAGTGCTCTGTAACCCTAGTCAAAGTTAGCAATCATTTGTTTTTATTATTTTACCCCAATTTTAATTTAATATTCACATCCTTTTTATTTTATAAATACATAAATAAATAATAAAAAAATTTACTAGTTTTGGGAATCCATACTGTTCACCCAATACATAACCACAACTTAATGGAATTTGAGCTTGAGATTCCATTAAATATTTTTATATTATACTGGAGCAAAATCTTCCACCAATTACAGTACATTTTTTTAACCATTGTACACCTTTCATATTCTCTTAATATATATCTAAATAATAGAAATATAGTCCTTAGTGGCCCTTTGTCCATAAATGTTGTTCTTAGCATTGAACCACGTATATCTTTGTTAGTGGCTTTTGCTCCGCCTACCCCGATGGCCGTAATTGCCCTCCACCGCATCCACGCCTTGTACCGGTACCAAGAGTTCTGCTTGTAGGCATGGATATGATAACTGTGCATCTTTCTCTCCAAAACTCTCACTCTGTAAGGTATATATATATACACATATATGTAATGTATGTATCTATACTGGTGGTGATTGGTTGAAAACAAAATTTTGGAGCCAAAATCAAATTAGTTGACTTTTGAATTTTAATAATTGACTAAGAGAAAGTAATGTTAGAGCAAAGTTAACAAAACCTAAGGACAGGGCAAATATTTTTTTTTTTACTCGTCTTATCCATAAGCAATAAAGACAGACTTGAAAAAATATATATTAGATGGAAATAAAAATAATTATCTCGCAAAAAAATTATTTTCGCAAATAAAACATTCAATATATAAAACATGAAAAAATAAAATAAGTACAAATCATTGGTTGATTTCCAAAATAAACTCCTCTGCCTTCAAATAAATTCATGCCATTCACCACAAACAATAATAAGAGAGTAGTTTCATTCAAAAGGAAGCAAAATATTTAAAGACAGATCAGTCTATAAAGCACACAGCCCAAATGAAAACGACACTAATCAGTAATCAAAAGGAACCATAAATGGAACCCTTTTAATCTCTTCCAAGTAAATTCTTCCCAATATTGAATAAAGCATAAGCCTCGATTGCTGCATACTCCTTGCTCAGATTATTATGATAAGCAACACTTGCTGGCTTGTCTTTTATAATCAGATTATGTTGATAAGTAACACTTGCTGCCAATTCTGATAAACTGAATGATTTATACCTTGGTCTCTTGAAAAGATTAGCTGCGTGCTCACTAAGGTCGACCACATTTCTGAACACAATTCCATGGAGATTCTTAAGCTTAACAAGGTCATCAGCAATATGAATTCCGACAAAAGTTACATCCTTGAGAGCAAGAAAATTCTTCACAATTTCGTAACGTAGATACTGTGAATCTATGATGACACAAGTAACATTTGTGCACAACACCAAATGCATTTTCGCTTTTAATCTATCTCCCAAGTTCCTCCATTGGAGGTCAAATCCAACGATTTTTTGATCTCCCTCTCTGATTAAACAATCCCAAAGTTGATCGAGGCCCCTTTTTAGCTTGGTTTCATCATCTTCCTCATCTGAATCGGAATGCAAGCCTTTATCTTCTTCATCTATGAGTGTTGTTTCCACAACTTTTCCATCACCCATTATAAAGTTGATCATTTTCATGTTTTCAGTCTGTAATAAAAATATAACAGAAGAAATAATCCATGAGGATTCAAAAGATGAATATCATACAATTAATGACTATTTTGGAAGAATGAATACAGTATAATTAAAAGAGCAATCCATTTACTATCAAATTTGATCAGATGTAAATGGTTTACTACTTGACAAAGAACACCTTCCAAATATAAATAAATATATATATATATATATATATATATATATATATATATATATATATATATATATATATGAGTAATGATACTCTGTCCGATCAAATTGGCCTACTCATAATCCGAATCCTACATGTAATTGTCACTAATTACCTAAATCGTTGATATTTTATTTGCACGCTAAAGATATCAAAAATAAATATATGAAAAGAAGCTGAAAATGTTTTAACAAACCAACTCTATCTCTCTAATTTCGTTCTGCTGCTTCCTTGATTCTCTCTCTTTAACTCACTGTACTCTCTTTTGCATTAGCAAAATTGACGGAAAAACAAAGCATTGAGAAGTCTCTATTGGTTCATAAAATCAAAAGGGAAAATACACACACATATATATATATGTTTGCTTGAAGAGAAAAAAACGAACCCTAACAAGATTGAAAGTATTTTTTCATTTTTTTTAATTTCATTTTCAATATATATTTTGGCTTCCGTATATTGTATCAGTTTTGGGGATTTGATTAGGAAAAGAAAAAAAAAAACTTCAAAAGTTCATTAAGAATTGTAAAGATGAATCGTGAGTTAGAGAGATAAAGAATCAATGGAGTAGCAGAATGAAAAAGATGAATAGAGAAATTCTTTTAATATTTATTTTTGGTATCTTTAGTGCCCAAATAAAATATCAACAATTTAGATAATTACATGACAGTTGCACGTAGGATTCGGACTAGGAGTAGACCAATTTGAATATATACATACCCGGTGGCATTCCAAGTCAGTTTTTAATAATAAAATTACAAAATTGTCCTTCCTCTTAATTCATCATCTAAATTAGTCCTCTCTTGGTCATGATGCGTCAGGAGAATCACTCTTCCTGGATAATTACTCTTGTTGGTTCTTCATCTAAGGTTATGGGATTCTTTCTAGTTTTTATTTATTTATTTATTTTGTCTAAAATTTGATTCATAAATAAATTCAAAAGTATTCCAGAAACATGGCATAAAATTACTATTGAAGTCCAATTGCTGCACCAAAACCAACCCTAATTTTTCCCTTTACCCGAACCATCGATGCACATACTTCATTTTCTTAATTCGGTCTTCGTCAACCCCAAACCTTAATTTCAACCAAAAAAAAAAAAAAAACATAATATACTAATTATAGACATTATATGAGCGATGCAAAGAGAATTTCACATTTAATAAAAGACAATAATTAAGGACAAAATTCACAGCACGAACACGAATACAAATATAATACTTTTAATAATGAAATAACTAATACAATAATATCAACAAGTAGAATGGACATCGTTTGATTGATAATGGCCACACAAACAAAAGAAGTTGAACATAATAAATAATATGAATACAATTATATAAATAAAAGTAAAGTTAAATTCAATAAGAGATGAAAATTTGCCTTTGAGATTGAGAGATTACTGTACACTGTTATAAAGTTAATACATGCAGGTGTTGGCGTTTACTTACTCCAAAATACAAATCAAGAACTCGCAGGTCAGCAGGTGATAGAGGGGTTTTTTTTATCGGCAGTTCAAGAGCGTCTTCAAAAAAATAAAAAATAAAAACAATAAAATATTGGTCCAAAAAATAAAAAAAAAGGTGATCGATAACTTCTCGGCTAAGATCGTTTGTTCCCATGATTAAAGAAGATTCTTCAGTCCGATGTTGCTTTAATAAAGAAGATGACTTTTGTTCCAGGTGAGAGAGATGCTTGTTGAATGAGCTGGATGTCACTGTTAGGGATAATGTTACTGTAGTTGATTGACTGTTGACGTGTCATTGTTGGGAGAATCTTACTATACCTGATTGTCTATCCAGTCTAAAGTCGTTCTCTGCTGGAGATTTCTAATCCAAGGCTCGCTATGGGTCTACAATTGCAGATTTGTAACCAAAAAATTATGGGTCTCCAATTGCAGATTTGTAACAAAAAAATTAAAATAAAAATAATTTATTAAGAAGGATCAAAATAATTAGCAATATCGTATAAGACGATAAAAAACAATTTCAGAACTCAAAACGAAGGTTTTCAACCGAAAACTAGTATGGCTTACAAACTAAATCTAGTGAGTTTTTCTCAACACTTTGTTTACACCTAAAAACATTATTAGTTTGTCAAAAACGGACTTGTCGAACTGTTTAGAATTCTGTCCTATATCAGTTCCCTCTACTTCCAAAAACTCCATCCTCAAGTTTGGCTGCAAATAACATGAAGTCTCACCTACCACAAAATCATACTTTTCATTTCCATGAGAACCTACAAAGCACGACTCCAAAGTATTTTTACTGGCACTTTTCGGGACAAATAGTTCTTTAGTTATAATGTGCTCAAATAATGATATACTTCACCAACTTGAAGCCCGAATTCTTCCATACCAACTTGGACATCTAATTAATTTGGAAAATTTATTAACCCACTGATTATCAATTAATTCTTGTTACTCAATTTCAACACTGAACTCCTTGTCTCCATCTTCTTCTTTTATTGTGCTAAAGCGCTTTTCTACATCTACCAACTCAGACAAATGAATTAATGTTTTCACATCATTGACTTCATATTTTCAACTAAAATAGGTGAAGAAACATAATTTTTCTCTTGATCAATCTCAATAATATCAGTAGTTGCCTCAACAAAATTATTATTATCCTTGGTGCCACTATCTTCTTTCTTTCTTCTTCTTCTTCTTATTCTTCTTCCTTTTTTTTTTTTTTTTTTTAAATCTTCTTTGTAGACTTTTTGATAGGTGGATTATTTTTCTGACAAGTTTGATATTTTTGAAACATCAATTCTTCATAATTTGATGGTAGAAATTTAGTCATGAACATCCGTTTCATCTTATACCACGACCGAACAGGATGTGATCCTTTTCTCCTTCGATGAAACTGTATTTGTTCCCACCAAGTTGAAGCTCAACCTTTAAGCTTAAAGGTAACAAACGAAATTTGCTTGTTTTCGAGTACATCAAAACATTCAAAAAATTCTTCAACTTCTTCAATCCACTTCAAGACATTTTCAATAATAAAACTTCTATTGAAAGTAAATAGATCAAGTTTTACACGAAATTCACAATTGTTGCATCTACCTCGATCACTGAATATGAACTCCTCGTTATCGGAAGAATCATCGAAATAATCTGCATAGACTGGAGGCTTACGTGGATAAACAGGAACACAACCTATATTCGGTTGGTTGTGAGACACATCATCAGAGCTAACTCGAACTGAATCACAAACCTAGTTGCCATGAATTCCAAAACTAGTTGCTACGAACCGATCTTGAGTATGCATGGCTGTCTAAGGGGCCTTCACTTTGCGATCATCGTAGGCAAATTAGGTGCTATCAAAACGAGCAATCGTCATTAGCCCAGGGTAAATCAAGGCTCTGATACCAACTGACGTAAGCGGAAGCGATAAATTTGTTCACAAGGAACAGTTTACTTTGAATCCACAGAGTGGGGTGTTTTGAATCCACAAAATAAAGGATAATTTCAGAAAAATCTCATATTTGCATTGATAATTGAATGAATGATTCTGATCTCTATATTACACATCTTTATAATGAAAGAAAACCTAATCCATAGGGAAATTAACTGCAACTTGAATCCTTATAATATAAGGAAAACTAAACATGAAACTATACTAATATCTGAAAAAAGCCTAAAAATAAAAATTTTCTATAAAAATTCTGAAAAATTAGAGAAAGAAACATAATAAAACAAAAATTACTAAATATAAAATATGAATGCAATTCGGGTTTGTTTAGATAATGAACAAGAAGTTCGAAATATTCGACAATTTTCTTTCTGACCGAAAAATCCTGTTTTAAGGCCCTAAACGATGTTATTTTACCGAAAAACATGTTACATAACGGTGTAGCCGTGAGTCTTGCTCGTTAGTTTGTTTCCAGTAAAAAAAACTCTCATTTCTGATAAAAAAAAATGCACACTTCGAGATCAACTTAGAAAATCTGTCAGCATGCCCGTTTGGCTCCTGGCGGTCCAAACAGACCATAAAGGCTCGAGCAATTAGTTTTACATCAAGTACGAAGAATGAAGAAAATTGGTGAGCACATGGACCGTTACTATGATACCATGAAAAAGAAATAACAGACCAAAGAAAAGAAAATGGAAAATGATTTTTTACACGATTGTTCTAAAAGGTAGATTAATATTGAACTTAAAGAAAGGTGAAAAAAAGGTTTTTTCATTCAAATAGTTTTTGTTTTTGTTTTTGTTTTTGTATTGTTTTGTTTTTTTTTTTGTTTTTTTGTTTTTTTTTTTTCTTTTTTCAGTAAGTCATTAGTCACCTCATTAAAGTAGTTCCTGTAAACAAAACTAAAATAAGTTAACCATAATTTAACCACAATAATTTCAATCATTTGGTTCATCATGGTTGGTAGGTGATTAGACCCAAGGAGGCAATTTTATTTTTCTCACTCATATGACCCTCTCAAGCCTCATAAGATATGGACTAAAGTAGGTGAAGAGATGAGAACACTTGCACAGTACTTCAAAACAACCTTGAAATTGAAATATGAAGAAAATTAGTTTAAAATTTCTCCATCTCCAATTTTTAAATATCAGTTTTGTACTTCAAAACATAACTGAATGTATTGTAGTTGTATTATTATCAGAAAATTCCAAGACTGAAATAATAAACAATAAAACAAATCCCCACAAAGTGAAAAGAAAGCCTACCAGGTGGAAGAAAAATGAGGCATATATCTCTTGTTGATACGATTTTTTCTTTCTTGATTATACACAAGAAACTTACTTTTATAATTTTAGGGAGAATAAAAAGCAAAATGTTCTTAAATAACACAAAATGAAACACAGTAATGGTGAGGACTGAGGACCGTGAAGTCCGAAGAGACAAGCCTTTTGGTTTTTAACTAGGAGTCAGGATTTTAATTACTCGTTCTAACGTTTTAATTGTGCCATACAAATTTCAAAAAACAAGTTATATAGGAAAATGAATTTGAAACTGAATAGCCAAATATATATATATATATATATGTGTGTATATATATATATATGTATGTATTCAACCGAACACGAAGTGAACGAGATCGTTGCTCCGGCTGCCTTGCTGCCACGTGTGTTTGTTTATTATTATTTTTGGTTATTGAGATAGATTAATTTAGAGTAATGCTCTCAAAAGCTGCTGATGATTGAGAAATGTTTTTGGAATTTGTAAAAATGTTACACAATTTTGAATCATGATATACAAACCAAAATGCTACGCCATTTCATAAACCCAAGCATGTATAACCATTGGATAGTTTCATATGGGACCCACTTGGATTCCATATATATGCACCTTTAATCCCTACACAACTCTAGTCCGACTTTCAATCCAAACTAACCGACCAAAGCCAAATCCATTCTAAAATTTTATAGCTTGGATTGAGGAGATTTAGGATTGCCACACTAATTTTTTAATATAATTATCTTATACTACATTGGCTTAATGTAATTTTAGATTACTTTCTCATACTTTTATGTTTTGAAATAGGCATAATTATTTTAAGAGAGCTGATATTCGTATTCTAATTTTTTTTAAACTTTTAAAATAAATTACAAAACAGCCCTACACCACGCAAGTTTAATTCTTACGATTTTTATTACCATAATTATCCTTTTCTATTTGGGTTAGGATTCTTGTGGCCAAAATGTAATTTTCATAACTCTTCTCACGTTGCCACCTTTCTCTACTTGAAAAATGGCCTTAAAAAAATGGAAGATCTCGTATATGGTGATGACTCTGTTAATACAATTAAATGAGGATGTGCAAAACAAAAAATATTGCTTTATTAACTTCCTCCAACATCTGAACATTATAATTATAAGAACAATTTATTACAAAATTTTACATTCCACCCTTTTTTTAACACGTTTTGAATAAAAAACAAAATAGAATAGAATATGTAGGATCAAAATTCACAAACTTAATATGACCTAGTCAACCAACTCCAAAGTCCAATATCAAATATTATAATATAAAATATATCAGTGATTAACTGTGATATACTCCTACACGTTCTAAGATACCAGACCTCATCCCATAAGTCAGACAGTTGAACAATGTCCAAATAAATATGCAAGTTTTCTACAACACTACTTGTCACACTGTGTCATGGGTGAGATCTTCCATTTTTCTATATTTGGTGCTAAGAATATCATAACGTACCCTAATAGAGAGGGCAATAATGGTATTATAAATGGTAAGAACCAAACCTTCTGAGGTGTAGAAGCTCCATTGTAATTTTATGTTAGAAGAAAGAGAAAGTGGAGAGCCTAACAATTATAGTGGAGCACCAATATCATATTTGGACCTATTTACATTGTGCAATATTGTCTACTTTGCACTCTTTGGCCTTCATGGTTATTAAAATATGTCCTGACTGTTAGGATGTTGTCCGATTTGCCTATTCGGCACTCACGGTTTTCAAAATGCTTTTACACATGTAGATCGAACACATCCTTATAAGTGTCAGGGATGTGAGATGTAACCTAAGTCACACAATTTTTTAAAACGAGTGCTGCTTTAATGTTCCACGCGCATTCCAGCTCTCACACTCCACGTGCACTCTTGCTCCCATTCGACTATGTGTGACTTAGATTTTGCTGCTTTCATACTGTCACTTCTG